TCCCTTTTCTTAGCCTGATCTGCCTTCTTGAATTCATTTTTTTCAACCGCCTTATCATACTTAGTCACTGACTCTTCCTCATAACTTTTAACTCTCTCATCACAATATTCTTTCCATTCCGCATCACTCATACCCTCTTTCTTCTCGCCCAGTAGCTTGATACGCTGGACCAGTGACTCCGATATTTGGCATGATGAGCCATATAAAGTCACTTGACTCTTCTTGTGTGGAACAACTTTACCTTCACCATCATAAGCTATACAGGGAGTCGTGTAATGGGCGATCTGAAGTTACAAACATAATCATGCCTCAGTTTCATCATATTAGAAAGATATTAAAAACATGCTAACCGTAGTATCCCATAAAAGATCATACAAACCATTACAAACACCCAAGAGGACTTCAATCCCGAAATCATCGATGCAGAATCTGGATCCCAGAACTTCCCCCAGCTTAACCACCTCCCCAGCAACTTTTATACCCTCCTCCGTATCGTATGGCTGGCCTGTAGCTCGAATTATCAATCCCCACATCCCAAAAGCATATCTGGTATGATCTTTATCAGTATGAGCTTTATTACAAAACCCATCACATGTTACTACAAGGTTTGACGCGAAAACTAATCCATTTTGTGTACCTTCCCATTCCAAAGAATCAAAGCCAGGAATATTTGCCTTCAAGGCTAGGGCGTGATTTGTTTGAAACACAAAAAGGGATAACGATGAAAAGCGTTCTGCCCAAAAATCTCGAATTCGATGGAATTCCGTCATTGCTCTCTGTTGGTAAGGATACGTCCAATATTTGCAGAAGTAAAAGCACTTAAACAATAGGGCCCTACATAAATCCATACAATGATGATACTCAGTCATCATCACCATAGAACACTATAAGAAGGCTAGAGATGGATGATTTACCTGCGGTTTTCCCTTTCTCGCATCCACCTCTCCAGCCACAACACCCCATCCAACCACATAACATCGTTTTCTCCTCATCTTCACCATCTTCATCGGGTTCTTCACAACCATGTTGAAGTGAACAATGTATCTTACATTGATTTCTTGCACGTGCGTGTTGAAATGTGGTTGATACTGATTGATTATACTTTTCTCGAAGGGACTGATTCATATGTTTGAAAGGGGTACATCGAACCACCATCACAATAGATAAATCCTTCTTATTAATCACAACCACTGTTCCACTTTTAATTTTGAGGGGTTTCCGATCGGGTTGAACAGGCTGGTCTTTTAGACTGTAACGAAAAACGAATTTGGTATCCAGTGGTAAGCCAAGGTCCTTGATAAGCTTCCGTTTCAACTCGGTTCGCTTAGAATGATGACGAGTGTAAGAATTCCCAAGAGCCTTCTCCTTCCGATATTTTTCCTTTGATTTATAATAACTTGGTGACGTTTTAGACTTGAAGCTCGAAGCCTTGACACCTGATTTTTCCTTTCTTTTATTACTTCTTGATCTCGTCATACTGTTTGATTTGTGTGAAAGCTAGTAGATTAGATGAAACAAGAATCAATAGGGGATAGATTCTGAAATGATGAAGGATTTCGATTCTGAGGATGAAGTGAGTGAAGTCTAGAACAATCATTGCAAAACATTAGCATTTATGCAAATATTAATCTTCATAAATGATGAAATAAATGATGAAAATTTGCATTGTAAGGTGTAACTCACCAAATCAGTAGATGTACGAAAGAACCCTTCAATTCTTCAATCCAGTGAACCACTTTCAAACAACCACCCTGAACAGCAGGCCGAATTCTCCCGGTTCGTAGCACGGAGTCCAACAACGAGGAGAAAACAGCAGCAAAGTCTGAATGAAGGGTGGTGATGATGATGTGGTGATGGCTTTCGATCGATGGCAAGAAGTTGGAGTCGTTCGACGTTGAAGACACCCTGAACAGCAGGCCGAATTCTCCCGGTTCGTAGCACGGAGTCCGACAACGAGGAGAAAACAGCAGCAAAGTCTGGACAAAGGGTGGTGATGATGATGTGGTGATGGCTTTCGATCGATGGCAGGAAGATGAAGTGGTTCGACGTGGAAGATATTAACGTTAGGTTAATATCTTCCACGATTGCCTAACCTAACCCTAGTGCCTACTCAGTGTTCAGTGTAAACTAATGTGTACACTGTAAACTATTGTATAATACGTTACATTACAATAACATACAATGTAATGTATATCATGTTTTCCTCACTCATCATCACATCCCAAACTGATAACAAATTGAATTCAATTCATTTTATTCAATATGCTCACAGTTTTTTTGGCATCCACTTAGTCCTTCTAATCCAATTTGAAAATTTAAGCAGATAATTGTATAATTTGAAGCACTTTCATTGACTCTCAGCAGAGTTATCTTCCAAGATTGCTTAACCTAACCCTAGGCCCTACTCAGTGTACACTGAAAAAACCGATGTGTACACTGTAAACTATTGTAATATACATTACATTACAATAACATACAATGTAATGTATATCATGTCTTATTCATCATCACATCCCAAACTGAGAACAAAGTGATTTCAAATCATTTTAGTCAATTTGTTCACAGTTTTTTTTACATCTGCTTAGTTCTTCTAAACTTAATTTAAAAAAATTAGCAGATAATTGTATAATTTGAAGCACTTTCATTGGCTCTCAGCAGAGTCAACAGCAACTTTGCATCAAGTTTATCAATGATGACACCTGTTTTTTTTTAAATTGGGTGATCTTTGTTTCAATGGGTTTTTGATAAGTTGTTTAAGTATTTATGAAAGAATAGTTAAACAAGACACTTTAGAACAAGATTGAATGAATTTTTTGGCCATGCTTTCAACTTTTGGAAATTTCAGTTGGGATGGTAATCTTAGTATACCCAGCAGCTTCTTTGAGGTTCAAAAGCATTATTTAAAAACTTGATTAAAGAGGAAATGTATTGGTAGGGATCAAGTACTCCAGTTCAGGTTGGGGGGGTAAAATCATCTAATATCATTAGATGATTTTACCCCCCCACAACTTTTCCAAATCAACAGCTGCCTGAAAACTGTGTGTAGTTTTGACATCAGGGACCCTCAATTACTCTATGACACACCCTTCACATGTTCCGGAACATGAGAACAGTGGTAACATGTGTAATCATCATATTTGCAACACATACCTGATTGTCAAGATGTTTATACCCCACAACTTTTTCAAATTGACAGCTGCCTGGAATCTGTGTGTAGTTTTGAAATCAGGGACCCTCAATTACTCTATGACACACCCTTCACATGTTCCAGAACATGAGAACAGTGGGAACATGTGTAATCATCATATTTGCAACACATACCTGATTGTCAAGATGTTTTTCCGCCACAACTTTTTCAAATTGACAGATGCCTGGAATCTGTGTGTAGTTTTAAAATCAGGGACCCTCAATTACTCTATTACACACCCTTCACATGTTCCGGAACATGAGAACAGTGGTAACATGTGTAATCATCATATTTGCAACACATACCTGATTGTCAAGATGTTTTTCCGCCACAACTTTTTCAAATTGACAGCTGGCTGAAAACTGTGTGTAGTTTTGAAATCAGGGACCCTCAATTACTCTATGACACACCCTTCACATGTTCCGGAACATGAGAACAGTGGGAACATGTGTAATCATCATATTTGCACAGGATCACACGCATACCTGATTGTCAAGATGTTTTTCCGCCACAACTTTTTCAAATTAACAGCTGGCTGAAAACTGGGTAGTTTTGAATCAGGGACCCTCAATTACTCTATGACACACCCTTCACATGTTCCGTAACATGACAACAGTGGTAACCTGTGTAATCATCATATTTGCACAGGATCACACGCATACCTGATTGACAAGATGTTTTTCCGCCACAACTTTTTCAAATCAACAGCTGGCTGAAAACTGTGTGTAGTTTTGAAATCAGGGACCATCAATTACTCTATGACACACCCTTCACATGTTCCGGAACATGAGAACAGTGGTAACATGTGTAATCATCATATTTGCAACACATACCTGATTGTCAAGATGTTTTTCCGCCACAACTTTTTCAAATTAACAGCTGGCTGGAAACTGTGTGTAGTTTTGAAATCAGGGACCATCAATTACTCTATGACACACCCTTCACATGTTCCGGAACATGAGAACAGTGGTAACATGTGTAATCATTATATTTGCAACACATACCTGATTGACAAGATGTTTTTCCGCCACAACTTTTTCAAATCAACAGCTGGCTGAAAACTGTGTGTAGTTTTGAAATCAGGGACCATCAATTACTCTATGACACACCCTTCACATGTTCCGGAACATGAGAACAGTGGTAACATGTGTAATCATCATATTTGCAACACATACCTGATTGTCAAGATGTTTTTCCGCCACAACTTTTTCAAATTAACAGCTGCCTGGAACCTGTGTGTATTTTTGAAATCAGGGACCCTGAATTACTCTATGACTCACCCTTCACATGTTCCGGAACATGACAACAGTGGTAACATGTGTAATCATGTTACCACTGTTTTAAATTCACCTGAGTGTGAATATCCATTCACACTCAGGTGAATGGATCTAAGGTCATCATTCCAGAACATGAGAACAGTGGTAAAATGTGTCATCATATTACTGTGTCATCATCTTACCACTGGTTTTCATTCACCTGAGTGTGAATGAAAATTCACACTCAGGTGAATGGATCTAAGGTCATAATTGCAATTTGAATGTCTTCATTCACATGAGCGTGAATTTTGAAATGAAATTCACACTGAATCACATAAGTGTGAAATTTCAATCACATGAGTGTGAAATTTCATGTGGTATTCACACTCAGGTGAATTTACATTCACACTTGGGTGAATTTACCTTTCTGCAAATTATCTTTGAGTGAGCTAGTTTAATATTCTCCTTGGTGTGAATATTAACAATCATGAAATTAAAATATGATCATAGGATCAAAAGAACAAAATAATACATTTCATCTCGCACTTGCCCCAAGTTCATTCATCATCAAGATCACCAAATCCATTCCACTCCTCCTCCTCCTCCTCCTCCTCCTCCAAACTCTCCATTGTATAATCATCAATATTATTATCTTGTGTCATTATTACCTGTGCGTCAGTATCAGTGTTCAAATCGTGGGGTTCTTCTGGTGATTCCGGCCCTGCCTTTTTCATCCTGAAGAGGTTAGCCTGCACATCACTCAGCCACAAACTCCTACGGCTGTTCATTCCATTGAACCCTAGCTTCAAGACTTCTTTGGGAAGGCTTGATCCCGGCAATTGAATAATCTTGATGTTGTAAGTGTCAAGTAGCTTACTTTCGGGGTCAGGACCACGAGGAAACCCTTGCTCCTTGCCGGTCAACTTACCTGAGGTGAATATGTAACACAAGTCAGCTATAATGATCCAGTCTCACCAGCAAGAAATCAGGCGCTTACTGAATACTGAACGTAGCAAGGCAGCCAGATCACTCTTAACTTTATCACCAGGGTCCATTTTGCGTGCCTTTTCGGTGGTCAACATGACGTTTCCTCCAATGGTTTGAGCAACCACTTCCGAAACAGAAAGACCCTGAGCTCGGGCTGCAAAAACAGTCGAAAAATTGCTCTTCTTATTGACATATAGTGCCATCTCTTCATGAGATGTGAACTCTCGGCACCAACCGGGGGCAGCTGAGGTACTCTCAGTTGCAGCATAAGTGCTACAAGCCAGGAGATAATAGGAAAAATTCATGTTGTTGGCTTTGTTTTCTAACTATCATAAACATTAAAGGAGAACTATCAATTTGAACAAAACTGGACGACACCCCTTACCTGCTTGAAAATTTGATAGTTTTGATTACTTGATGTTTCTGACCTTTTCTGACTCTTTATGACGGTACATACTCCCAATGACAGCTTTGACTTGGCTTGCCAGTCATAACTCATTTTCCTACTACCACCTAATCGAAGACTTTTTCATCAATATTTACTTCATCAATCTTCTTCTCCTTCAAAGCGAACTCAATCTACTCCTCATTCTCAATCTCAACCTAAACCTCAACCAACGTAAGTCTTTTCTTTCAAACTTGGATTATCTTTAATCAAACTAATCCGATCACTTTCTTATCCATTTTGAATTGTCGTCATCTATAGTCCTCAAATTTGTTCTACACAGGTAACGGTTACTTGAACATCAATACATCAAACTTGATCGTTTGGTTAATTTTTGTATTTCTTATTTTTCTTTAACAGGTTCCAAGTCCACCTACTAAGAAGATCAAACCAACACATCCTACTATCATCAACTCAAATCCGAATTCTACAACTACAATTCATCCACCTCAACAAACCAAGATGATAATCAAAAAGTTTGTATTCTGATCCATCAAATCTAAATCCATTCACATTCATCAAGAATACTCATTTTCCTAATCACCCTTTTTTCTTCCATTCCATTTAAAAACCTAAACCGAAAACCAATCCAAAAACAAAACATCAAATCAACTAGAACCAACCGGATTGAAAACTAGAACTTGATCAAACAATAAAACCTTGAATCAATCATTTAAAAGATTGTCATGAATCTAAACTTTTACCTTACTTAGACCCTATTAAATTGGTTTAAAAATCACCTGAAAGTTTTCAAAAAATCAAAATTCATTAATCAATTCAAACAGAACTCAATCTTACTTAAATCTCATCTAACTGATCGAATTAAATGAAACTTGATTCCAATCACTAAACAAACTTATCAAAATCAAATCAATCCGGTTTTCCTCTGCACAGAAAGGCAGTGTTCAGGTCACATGATCAACTACATAGTGGTGGTACTCGCTCAGATTTTATGAACAAGCGATTTGAATTTGAATTTGTTGTTCGTAAATCCCCACTTTCATTTCATATTCTCCAATACCTCATTCTCAAAAACTCAGGCATTCAACTCTCCTTTATCAAGGAATCTACCAAGGCCTGATTCCGACAGATCCTTAACTTGCAATCAAGCAAACCAAAAGTATGTCCAAATCATTTTCAATTGTATAAACGAAATACTCCAATCTGATCATCTTTTGAACATCAGTGGATCAGGAAACAACAAAAACAACTAAAGGAGTTCCTATACCATTTCAAGATGTATCATTAGACGATTCAAAAGGAGAAGAAAAATAAGAAACTCAAGATAAATCAACACGATTGAACTTTTTACTAAGAGCTAGCAGAATTTATAATCAAATTATCTCACAAAATGTTAATTTTCAAACACTTGATATCTTGTTTTGTTTCTGAATTTTGAAATGGTACTGATATTTTCTGTTTAAATGAATAGATAGAAGACGACAGAGCTTCACGTGAAGCAGCCATTAAGAAACAAACTGAAAAGTCGAATGAAAGTAATACCTCAAGAACCCTATTATAGCATTGTGCGTCAAGTTTCTCAATCAATGATCATTCTCACCCCTCACAAATTGCAAAAACAAAAAAGATAAGGATGGTAAAACGACTGGCAGAAGACGGTACTTTGATCGCAAACGGAAATAAAAGTGGATGAAGAATGGTATCAACAATTAATTGTTAGTATTGATGGAACTGGGAAGGTTCAATCAAATCAATCAGTTATGAGGTAAGCTATTCATTCATTTTTACAATCACTTTGATTTTGATTTCACTGAGGATGATGTTTGGACCATGGTCTTGCTGCTCCTATTAGGGTCTTGAGTGGTCATAATATTGGTCAGACTTCTGTCTTTTGATCATGTATTTACCTGTTAATCATTTGCTTCTTTATAAATTCTTAGGCAGAAGTTTTGTATGTAAAATTTGATTTGGGTGGTGATCATTTAGTTGCAGCTTCAACTGATTTTAATATAAATCTTTGTGCATTTTATGAAGAAGACTTTAAAAATTATACTCCATTGAAGGTCCAAAAGCAGAGCTTATGTCAACTGATTTTTCACCTATTAGACCACTTGAAAGACTTTATGCTGCTTCAGTTGATAGAACATTTACCAGCTACAATCTTCATACTGGTTTAGCTTCTTGAAGACATTGTGGTCATAATGGAATCTAATAGTTGTAATTTGATTGCTTCTAATAGTTGTGATTTGATTGCTTCAGGCTTGGATGATGAAACAGTGGTGAGTTGGTGTGAAGATGAAACACATGCATTGGATAAAGTTGATCTTAATCATCCATCAGATGTTGTATGGTCTACTGATGGTCAACAACTCTTTATTGGTGCAATTGATAATGATGTACATTACTATGATTTACAGAAGAAACAAGTCTCTTGGAGTTTGTGTGCTCACACTGATACCATTCCAGGTCTCAGGTTGAGTCCTGATGGGAGTGTTTACTTAGTTCTGCCTTGTGTGATACATTATTTCTGTGAGTTTATCACAACATTACTTTCTTTATGATTGACCATCAATCGTCTGTAAACTGACTGGGGTCATTTATTTTTGTCTTTGGTGGAATGTGAGGCAATTTGCTTGGTCAACAACTTGAACAAACCACATTATTTATATAAGATTGTTCCAAAATTATCTTATATATGACCTTTTTGGAATGTAAACCATCCCCATCCTGAATCACCAGTAATTACAAGCACCTTCATGGGATCCCACCTGATTGATCACCTACCATTTGGCATGTGCAAACATTGATCACATCATATAAAGAATAATTGGTCATAAAGGAACTTTCACCTCTGAATTGCATCCAAAAGAATCTATCAATGCAAGTGGAGGGCTACATAGACAACTGTTTCTTGTTGAAATGGATTGATAGGAGATTTGTTTACTCTCATCCAATTTGTAAGAAAGAAATGAAGATGCTCATGTGGTTAAGAGTAGAGGGATGTATGATTAATACATTTGTGTATATATCAGATTAATGTTGAACATTGAATGGAATCCTGGTGCTTTATAATTTGATTCTTCAGAAATATTTAAAATGAGTTCTCATTGGATGAATCATACATTAGAAATGATGTTTGAGATTCAAAGGGCTTCAATTTGATCTGTATAATTCTCTGTTTGGTGGAATTGTACAAATGTTTTCAATTACAAAAACCATTGTGTTGTTGATTATCCTGAATTGATAGTATTCAGTTTGTTATATTGATGCATAGATTTCTTGCCATTTAAACCTCTTTGTAGTAACCTTATTTGCTGAAGGTTTGTTATCATAAATCAATCTCATAGTGATTTTTAAATTCAGAAAGAGAAACCATTCACCACTCACCCTAGAAGAAAATGAATTCTTGAAATCTACATAAAAAGAGATGCAATTTTTTCATTCATTTTTACACATAACTTTAATGATGTTATATTTTTTCACTTTTTTTCCATTATTGTTATTGAATTATCTTATTATGTGAATCACCTTTTAGTATTTGGATTTAATTTGGATGAGAGGGATTTTGTATGCAACATCAGAACTGTACATTGTCAAACCAAACCAATATCATTCTAATTCTGCCCATAAAAGATAACCAAAGCTGTATGAACCAGTTGGAACAATCATCACCCAATCAATAGTTGGTCTCAAACCAAACCTGATTGGCAAAAAACCCGGTACACCTGGTTGTCTTTTTGGCTGGGAGGTGTCAAAAATGCCAACTCAATACACAAAGTTACCACCAAAAAAGCAACTGGGTGTACTGCGTTTTTTGGCAACAGGGTTTGCTTTGAGACCAACTAATCTGTAGAGCTGTCCAGATATTCTCTGCAAGTTAAATCTCTACAAGGCAATGTCAGCAAGCGTCTAGAGAGACCTTTTGGGATCCCTCTAGAATATCAATTTTTTTCTACATATGTAAGGGTGTCAACTTCTATGTTCAATTACAATTTCAATGATCAATCAATTGTGATTTTAATGATTGACTCTAATAATTTTTGCTCCCAAAAATCTCAAGAATTCATAAACTTAACAAAGTCCCACACTTGCCTCAAGCAAGGCTGAAGTGAGCAAGGGACTTACACCAAACTTTTACAGTCCATAACCTCACGGTAGAGGGTTTTGCAGGGAGCTTCCTTCAATCCCCTTTATCTTTTGCCACACCAAGGATTTGGACATGGTCCAAAGAGAAAAAATATGAGCCAGAGTAAGGCACATATTGTGCATTTTTTTCACCGAGGAAAGCACCCTTATTACACAGATAATAGATGAACAAAATTGTTGAAGTATAGTGTAATTTCTGTCACGTTTCTTCTTATTACATAACTGATATCAACTATATGTCTTTTATTTCATATCCCATTTACTGTCATCATCACTAATGTAGCTTTGTTTCACGTGTCATGTTGTATGTATCATTTGTCATCATAATTAACCTAAGTACCGTTGAAAAGTTTAATGATAAACCTCAAACAGCAGCAAAGACAAGTCTCCCTTCTTTATCCAAGATATTCTAATCATTCTTGGGTGTGAAGGTGAGTTAAACTCTGGTTCGTGAGAACTTTGATAGCTCATAGGTTATGTCCTGAACTCTATTGTTCCCTGCTCTGACAGGTATGTAGTTTATTTCTGTTTCTTATTATTCTTATCTTTGTGTTCTTTTTATTCTGATGTGATGGAAATAAAACTGATCCAAGATCTTCTAATCATTCTTGGGTGTGAAGGTGAGTTAAACTCTGATTTGTGGGAACTTTGATAGTTCATAGGTTCTGTTCTGAACTCTATTGTTCCCTGCTCTGATAGTTTCAACACAAATCAACTAATTTCACACCACGACAATTAATTAGTTCAAACCCCAATTGAACTGAATTTGGATGGCCGGATTCAAAGTTTCCTTGACTCACAAATTCTGTTCACAACGTGTTTGCAATATGTAAACCACAAAATAACTATCATTTGGCATCATCGATTGGACATTGGTAATTGTTGCACACCAGAACATCGATTCCAGATAAGAACACAGAACTTCTGGTGTGACTGAAGAAGAAAAAACAGGTTAGGAACTGTTAGGCTTAGGGGTTAGGCTTAGGGGGTTAGGATTAGGGCATTAGGATTAGGGGGTAGGATTAGGAGGTTAGGGCATTAGGACTAGGGGGTTAGGATCAGGGGGTTAGGATTAGGGCATTAGGCTTGGGGCAGGATATAATTTTAAATACACAATTTTTGCCATGCAGTCATTCAGGGTATGGCACAGACAGCACAAAAAGGGGTGTCAAAGTTCACACGCGCCTGGGAGGGCACCCGATTCTCAAAATATCTACTGACCCACCCCACATTTATTCTTCAGGTTGTGACAAAAATGTCAGTGCGGCGCCCGCCGCCCAATTGTGCTAGTGTAATAATTAAAATCAGAAGTCAGTTTAAGTTTACCACAGAATACAGCGAGTGTCTTCAGAAAAACCTTACCTGATTGTGTAAACGCTCTATAGACCTGAGAGATTGACGGTTGTAATCAGGTAAACTGGGACCTTGAGGTATGCCTGCTGCAGCCTTGGCATATTCCTTTGCAACCTTCGCTTTATTCACGCACTCATCATATAACACTTGTAATTTGGCAAGTTTGCCGGCGTCAAGATCGAAATGTTCTAATTCTTCGTCATCGTCATCACTACCTTCTTGATTTGGAGGAGTGAGACCAGATAGGCGGTAAAAGACGGAAGGGTGAAAAACCAGCTGTTGTTGTTCAGGGAGAGCGGTCCAGATTTTGCCAAGGTCACGGTTTCGTTTTGACAGAATTCCTTTCTGTCCTTTAGGTGGCACTGTTTTGTTGATTGATAGAAAGATAATAAGAAAAAATTAAGTACTTTGAAAATTTTCACATATGTGTGAATAGAATTCACATATGTGTGAATGAGATTAATGGAATTCACACATATGTGAATTCTATTCACACATGTGTGAATCCAACTTACTTTGATGCAAACCAATCTCAATACTATACCTTTTCCATAATTGGTATCCCCCAGTTTTTCGGCGGCCTCCGAGCTCCCCTCTTTACAGAACATTTGCAATCAGTGACGTTTGAGAAATCAGGCATGTGGGATTGGAACTTACAGGGCTTTATCAAGCGTAAATTTACTAACATTCCCGATGATGGAAAGCATAGCCATCTGGTGTTTGTATATTTTACGAATAGCCTTAGCTTCCTTCAAAATTGCAGCAGAAACTGATGTGGCCTTTTTCGTCTGTGAGCGTTCCTGTACAGCTATGCGAGCTGGTGGCCATTTGTCCAGTTTCAACTTATAGTTATGGAGAGTGGGTAAGACCACTTGTTCTGGGTGAGTGGCGGCTTGTGAATTTTTGATTTGGTCAGTATGGTGAGTTAGGCGTTGTCTCAGAATTCGGCTAGAAGTGCGCTGATGACTAGGCTCCTCAGCAAGCTCGAATTGGTCGGCGAGGCGTTGGAGCAGGTCGTCTTCTTTGTTGCCTTCGGTTTCTTCGTTTTCTTGGTCTTTGGTGACATCATTTGTCGGTGGAGGTTGATTACGCAGAAGTTGAAGTTGTATGTCTGAGTCAGAGTCGCCTGACGCATCATTTAACTGGTCGGATTGTGAGTTTTCGTTGTCTTCCAGTCGATATTCTCCATCAGATGATGGAGGATCATCTTGTACGTCTAGACACCTTCTTTTCCGAGTATTCAAGACCAAAGACCTGACATTTTTTTTGCGTTTTCGATCAGAGGTTGAATTTGAGTTTGCACTTTCAAAGGATACTCTGCGACCCAAGTGGGAGGTCCTTCTGGTATGATGTCCAAGAGATGGGCCAGTGGAGGTTTGAGTACGTGAGCGAGAACGGGTGGAGGAGGGCATTTTGTTGAAAGAGCTAGGAATCGAATGTGAAAAGTGAAGAACAAAAAGCTGATATAATGTAAGTTTTATTTCGAGCCGGCGTGGAGCTAACATCAACAGGTATGTACCCCACCTTGAATAAATATGGGGTACATATTCAAGGTGTGTATGTACAGCTCATACAGGATTCCCAGGCTAATCTAAGAAGCTGAAGGGGTGTGAAACAAAAAAGTTGGGGGTGGCTTAGTCCCTCTGGTGTCTGTTACATGGTCTATACGGTGGTATAACCACAGAACAGACAGGTGGACGACAGGGGCTAACCACCTGTCGTGGTTTGGTACCAATACCAGGGAGAGATAATGAAAAATTCATTCCCCCATTTATTAATTTCAATAAAAAAAACTTACGAAAATCTGGCCAACTGATAGGACTCGACACCATCCAAACCCACTCGTTCCTCACATTCATCGTATCAAATCTCTGATTCTATTTCTTCAAACATGGGGAAGAAAGGAACCACAGTCCTTTGCCCGCTTGGACTAGCCAAAAAGAAAAGACGCAGAAAAGAAGAAGCTGAAGGCTCTGCAAACATTGTGGACAAAGTTGACGAGAGTGAAGCTCAATATGTCAACAACCGTCTAATTGAATTTGAACAAGCACTCAACGATATTCAGGATCCAATGCAAGTGGATGGTCAGGCAAACCAAACCAACAACAACCATCAAGATGACAACAACATGATGCTATATGGTGATGCGGATGTATATGACAACATCAATAATTTCCTGCCGGCACGAGATGATCCTGCCGTGGCCCCAGATCCCAATGTACCTTTTGTCAACTATGTACAAGGCTCTTTCTACAAGAGCAAAAAAATGACAGAAAATAAGAACTGGAAGAAGGCTCTTCCAAAAATGTTTATTACCTACATGACACTGTCGCAAGAAACTTCCCAATGGGGGGATACTTCCAAGTGGGACTACGATCACAACCCAAAATACACACAATGTTGTTGTGGTGTGGGGGATCTGAAAAGACGTAAAGTTGATATGTTGGATATTTTGGGTTAGTTATCTTCTTGGGAATAATGCTTATGTTCATATAAATCATACATTGGTGCGGGATGTTGATTATGTTGATGACTTAGAGCGAAAACAATTAGAAATAACATTTTGTAAATGTACCATGGATCAAGTACGCCTTGTCAGAATGGGTTACATTGGAGGATCTCCAGTACATCCTCAAGCCGCGTACTCAATCAGGCTACTTAGGTTGCATCATTCCTTTTGGAAGTATTGCACAGTCAGAACACAAGGGTTTGCGCTGGGATTAGATGAATTCCTTGACCCGGCCAATCCGCTACTGTTGGTTGCGGGAACCAATCAGGCGAGTCTAATTGTTTCTAGAAATGAAAACTCACAGCTTAGATATGTTTGTGTTTCAGCCTCAACGGTGGCGGAAAACCCTGTCTTCTGCAATTGATGCATATCGATATATGCTGCGCAAAGAGAAGGAACTTACAATCAGTGCGTTGTATCTCACTGCCCTGGATCAACTTGCGATGAACTGCCCAAGATGTTTTGGCCCGCTTCAGCCAAACCCACAGGCAGATGAGTCTGATTATCACGTCTGCTGTGATGGAAACTTTCAACATCGACAACATCTTGCTGCGAGCCAGGAGTATGAGGAAATGGAGATGGAGAATCCGCCTCTCTTCCTGGACAATCAAAAGGTTGAAGAGTGGAAACGACGGACTGGTGGCAAAGATCATCGTCAAATTGGGGTATGTACAATATCTAGATCATTTCAAAATTGTGATATAAATGTGGATGACTTTCACCCATATGTGAATTGGATTCACATATGGGTGAATCAAATTCACCCACATGTGAATGTGTTGATTTCTTTCACATATGGGTGAATTTATTCACTCCATATGTGAATTTGTTTCACATAT